TCTATGGGATCCAAAGATTATGTTTGTTTTGAACCATCTTCAACTATGTGCAGCTTTTCCACAACATGTTGATTAGTATGGATGTATAATGACTGTACTAGAGAATTTTCTTTTTCAGATTGGTAATAGGTAGGTGAGGGCACCGTGTCTCCCCTACTTTCCATTAGATGACTTGAATATTTCGATTCTGACTCTTTATCACTGAATTCTGAAGAAGCTGGTACAGTGGTTAAACCAACGAAATTCAAACAATCTTTGATTGTTTCAGCCTGCAACGAATAGTGGACTTCATCTTCTAAATTCAAATTTCTATAAGAGACTGGCTTGTATTTAGTAGAATCTATATCTGCAGGAGTACCTACCACTTGATTTGTTTCTTCTTGCATCTCTAGCTGTGTAAGACATTCTTGAGGAACAACCTCCTTGGATTCTAATCCTTCATGAAAAATATCTCCATCACCAGCAAGAGGCTCTTCCAAATTCATTAGTTTTCCAGACAGTGAACAAATCAAATTTGAAGAGTGATATATGGTTTTATCAACATCATCACAAAAGTTGGCAGAATCACAAGTGGCAGTTGATACTGCAATGCTTCCAGCACAAACATTTTCAGTTGCCAGATCATCTAAATCCACATGATCCTTGGGGTTCAAATCATCAGTGCAATCATATGGAAGATTGCAAGGGATAGCATCTTCTTCCAACACATTCCCACTGCAAGTAAATTTCCTAGTTTCTTCTCCCTCTGCGGCATAAAAAATTTCATCGACGTTTTGTTTCTGTTCAGAATATGAAGCATCTATTCCTGTTACGTCAGCTTCAACTTTTGGATCATCATGTAGTATGTCTGAAAATTGCTGTTCATTGAAGTCACAAATCTGTGAAGTATCCACCACAGGAGTTATACACTCCAAGTTGACATCCACTTCTACAGTAGCATCACTGACCTCAGAAACTAAGTGGATAGGCTGCTCTGTTTGCAAAATAACGCAGTTGATTGGTTGACTGAATCTTCAGCACAAATTTCCCCAGCAAAATCTGTTTTAAGAACTTCATCTAAATGATCATTGTCACTTCCCTTTTCAGGAGCAACCTCTAAAACGTTCAATAAACGTGGCAAAGCATTAGAAGAGGCATTTGTGTCTCCACAGTTCAACTCATCTACTGGATAACTTTCAGCAGAGAGAGTGATCAAAGTGGCCTGTTTCTCAGAAGAATCATCCAAATATTTTTCCACCATCACTGTCTGAAAAATTAGAACTAGTTTTACCATCAGAGGCTACTTCCTCATGCTGTTGTTCCAGCAAAGGAATTGCCTCTGAACATGCTTCATCCGGCAAAATATGTTTAGAGTTCAAATCTTCTAAACATGAACTATAAGATGCTTCTCAAAGATCAGGAAGGCAATGCTCACCAAAAGAAATATCTTTTGGTAACAAAACCTGATCAGAACTGGGACATGGCATCTCCAAACATGTAGGAAGCTTGATGGGACGCGCCTCAACAATCTCAGTAACACAGTTTCTATTCAAAGGAAACACTTCTGTTGCTACTTCACCATCTGATGGCGTATCTAGCCAGATTGTCTATAGTATCAGAGTTGGAAAAACTGGATATTACTTTATCAATAGAGCAGCTTCTATCATCAGACAAAGAGGAGATCCTATCCGATTGAGAATCTGATGAATGGGCTTGAACCCGAAGCTTTTCCTCGTTTGCAATAGAACCTGTTTGAAACTTTCCAATAACATCGAAGTCAATACCATCCTTAGGTCTATACTCATTGTCCGTATCCATTTCAGACTCCATGGTAGAAATTGCATCAATGAAATTGTCAGCCTCACTGGTCATGCTATTGGAATGGTCCCCATATCTATTGCATTCTTCTATGCCTTCTCCATCTAATATGATCTCCTCTTCAGTTGTTACTTTATGAAGGGAATGGCGGATTCCATCTCTGAAAGCAACTGTTCGTTCAGGCACCTTCATAATCTCTCTATCAATGGCTTCATCGTTCAACTCGTCAAGGGATGGTTTCAGGACATTTTCATGTACAGTAGGTGAAGAACTTAAGGTTTCCTTTCCTTGTGAAGAGACTTTTACAGGACTCACTGTACTAATATCAAGTGTTTCAGGAACTGACTCGGGAGAATTATCCACTGTCAAACTTAGAGGCAGAGTACCAGAGATCTCGAAATCAGCTTTATTTTGTTCTGGAGAAGTCTCCCGGAATATCTCCATATAAGTTCTCCCAGATTTTGAGTCAAGTGCAGATTCATTCAATTGCCTTCTTTTCAGTTTTACAAGAAGGGCAGGGTCATTGTAAGCATTTTCAATATGCTTCTCTAAAAACAGTTGATGCAATCTACACTTTTAGAGAGCAATTCAATTACCAAGTTACCATATTAAAACTTTAATATGTGCAGTTAAACAACAAGAAGAAAGATGAAAGGCACAGATGAAGAATTGAAGGACTCACTTGGCATGCGATGTTAGTGGAAATTCTGGAGCCTCCCCATTCTTCCAGCGTGATCCTTTCTTCTGCCAGAAATAAAAAATTAGACAAAAGGACACAGGCAAAAATACCATATACCACAGCTAGCCATAAAAACTCTGCTGATTGCTAAAACCATGAAAGCACACCTCAACCAGAGATTTTAAGTTTGACAGTGGAGATAATCACCAACCTTGCTATGATCTACTCACTCAAACTCATGGATGTCCATCATGAAATGATGATGAAAAAGAGTAACTCAACGATAATGGATCACTTTTCCCCAGTGAAATTAAATAAATAGGTCCAATAAGACTATTGATATGTCTTAGGGCCATTCTAAAGACCAAGGACGGGTTTATTTGTTAAGAGGTAAAAAGTTAGGGTCATTCTATAGACCGATCTCACACACTCTGCTATAGATGAGACAAAACTGCAAATTGCTAAAATAACTTACCCCGAAAAAATATCTAAGCATATATTTTCTGTGGTCTTTTATTTATTTTATGTTATTGCCTTCACTTTCAGCGCTTTCTTTTCTCTCTGAACTTCTAATGGTGCAACTCCAGGAAAATCCGATTCTGCTTTAAAAAATGATGGATCAGTGTAACGCTTTAAACATGCCCCAGCACCTGCAACATCAAATCTGGAACAAGTTAAAAGTGATTAGAATATTTGATATCGGTAAGAGAAAAGACTTGCAACAAAATTACTAAAAATTATGACCAGTAAAGTCATCTTACTTGTCCAAAAGGAACAACCGTGGTGGGCCCCTACATTCCTCGTAAGAATCCAACACACAACGAGGTAAGTCTCCATGAGTGATCAGATTATGTTCATTGCGCAGATTAGGATGCCAGTCTACACCTGAAAGGATAATACATTTCTTGACCAGTTTAGCAGATAATGCCTTGGTGCAGGTAAACTCCAATATTCTGTTTCAAATCCATAAATAAATAGAACCGCTAGCTCCATCACTTATTGCATGCCAATGTAAATGAATCCGGGCATACTGATTCCATGACAATTTCCACCAGGACAAAGTCATTGAAAGATGCATCTTTTGGTTAGGTAAACAAACTTGTTTTCTCCTCTAGATGCTGATAGAACATGGGGAAAAGTAATACCCATATTGCAGGCACCAGGCACTCAATCCCTGGAATCTACTATAGTTGTTTCAAAAGGAATAGATCTATTTCCCAATATTGCAATCAAGTACAAAATACATACAACATATGAAACCAGCACATATGCCAAAGTGCCCCATCAATCATTATGAGAAGAAATGACCCAGAACCGAGGGTAAGGGTCAAATCCTAAACATAAAATGTGTTAGTGAAAGTATATCATTCGATCCTTTTATTGTAATGATAATTTTGTTTTAGTAATTTTTTAAATATCTTATAAAAATATGATAATTTATAATTTAAATTAAAAAAATTATAATTTTATGAAATTCTTAAAAAAAAAAAAAAGAAATATGAAAAACAATACTATATGACAACTTCAACATTTATGTTTGTATTACACAATACTATATATATATATATATATATTCTACACCGTATTTAATGTGAAAAAGAAAAAAGAAAAAAGAAAAATGACAATGAAGGAGTTAAACCTTAGCCTCATATAGCACTTGGGAACAACAAATCACTAAAGCAAATCTTAACAATTAATTAATAATTGGATAGAGATTATATATATATTAAATATAATTTATACTAGATTTAAAGAAAATGTGAATTTAAGTTTTTTTTTATATATTTTTAAGCTAAATTTAATATTTTTTATATTTATAATTCAATGATTATATATATAATTTTAGATTGAGTTTTTTAATTTAATTAATCATTTATTTTTTAATAAAAAATTATATTATTAATATATATTATCTACTCTTAAAAGAACTTACTAAATCCATCAATGATAATAAGTACGTTACGTATGATCATCTGGACAAGTGACGGACTAAAGAGTGCTGACACAAATGGTTGTGATTCAAGAATTTGAGCTTGTAAGGTCAATTTCGAATTTCACCACCTTTATTTTTAGTGGACAATCTGTAAAATTTTATGTAAATCCTAATTAAGTTTAAGTATGCTATGATCTTATATCGGGGAGCCACTTTTTTTGTACAAAAAAAAATCTTGACAAATGACCGAGATCATCCATGCCTCGTCTAACAAGTGTTGGACATGAGTAAAGTCGGAACAATTACACAAATTACAGATTATGACCAATAAATAAAAATAATAATTCTAAAAAAACACTACCAGTAAATAAGATTTTCTCCTTCTGCAAACTGCTGTAGTGCTATAAATCCAAGTTATCCAACAAAATGGATAGCCATGACATCCTCTCTCATGGGTCTCCGCGCATTTAAAATTTAAGCCTCGGGTCCCCTCCCGCACCATTCCACCATTTTGGGCCCTGGTTTGCCTGAAAAACAACCGGAAATTCCATCGACTTTTTGGGGAGTGGTGGTGTAGGGTGGGGTGCCAACATGGGTGCATGTTGTTCCATGCATATCAAGTACAAAGGTAAACGACGTTCCGAGTACGAAGACGATTTGCCGGAGAATCGAGAGAAGAGTCATGATACCAAGACGGGACATAATGGGGCAATTCTCAGATTGCGGGGTTCCTCTCCTTTCATATCGATGTACACCCGCAATGGCCACAATAGGATCAATCAGGACGCCATGACCGTTTGGGAGGTCACTTTTTCTACACACCCTTTCTTCATTTTATTCTTTCACGATTCATTTAGTTTGTCAGATTCTAAATCTTTTTTAATTTTTATATGCCTCTTTTCTTCTTTTTGGAATGTGCATTGGGTTGTTCCATGGTTGATTGATTTGAGAATTTCCCATGTAAATTATATTGTGTTGTGCATGCCTTGTTTTGCATTGCATCTTATTTCTGGAAATGCTTCATGATATGAGAAAATTTCCTTTATTGTCTTTATTTTGTTAGATTCTTTCTAGTTTCTCTCCTTACTGTGATTGCAGTCATTTTGTATAAAATGTTAATGAGGTCTGTATAAGAATTCAAGGGATTTAGATAGCGTTCGTGCTGTCCGATACCGTTATTGCATGATCACGATACCCGTAATCACCGCAATAGCGTCTGTTATGTCTGCAATCGTATTAAACACAATGCAACCAAAAACGCGACCGCCACCGCATCCGCTATTTAAATCCCTGAATTTATTTCTGGCACTAAATTGTCAATGGGATATTGAATGGAATAAAGACTTGGTGGGAACTTAATTCATCAACTCTAGTTCGCAAACAATTAGGTACATTGTATTTCTAGGCTATGGCTGGCAATAGCATTAGCATATTCCTTCTGATTCTGTGAATCACCTACTTGCACATATATCATTGCTTTGCCTATTTTGTTTATCACCAAATTCATTTTCAAAATTGATCCAGAATTTTACGGGTGAGAAGGGTGCATTCTTTTGCGGCGTATTCGATGGTCATGGTCCGTCAGGTCACAGAGTTGCACGCTATGCATGCCACACCTTGCCCTCCAAGCTTTCTTTGATCATCGAAGTGTCACAACTTAATGGTTGCAGAGAAAATGATGCACTAGTCAGTGCTGGACAAAATGATAGCTATGGTGTTAACAAGGATACATTTTCCTCTTGGAAGACAAGTTTAATTAAAGCTTTCAAAGAAGTGGATGAAGATCTTGACTCCGAGTTTTCCCTTCATAGTTACAGCAGCGGTACGACCGCTGTAACTATCGTTAAGCAGGTACATCATGAGCTGCAGCTCAAATGGAAGAGCTTGCTGGTAGATAGCACAGGTTGAAAGTAGTATCCCTGATTTCTTTATTTGTTTTCTTAAAACATTTTCAGGATGAACACTTGATCGTTTCAAACTTGGGAGACTCTCGGGCAGTTCTTGGCAGTAGAAACAACAAAAATCGACTCTTACCGATCCAACTCACAGTCGACTTAAAACCAAGTATACCAAGTGGGTATTTCCTTTTCAATTCGCACCCTATTTCTTTGTTTATGTGTTTCCTATGGTGTTACATTTTTTTTATATTAATTTTCTTGTGTTATTACTCAGATGAAGCTGAAAGAATTGAAGAGTGCGGAGGCAAGGTCTTTGCAATGGATGAAGAGCCTCATGTACTTAGAGTATGGGCGCCCGGTCAGGATTGCGCTGGTCTCGCCATGACAAGGGCTTTCGGTGATTTCTGCTTGAAGTATTATGGCCTTAGCTCAATCCCTGAAGTTTCTTATAGAAGGCTTACAAGCAGAGATGAATTTGTAGTGTTGGCATCCGATGGGGTAAGAATTTAACATGTTTTTGAATTCGTTGCTAGTGTTGTATTGTTTGATACATCTTTGTAGGTATAAACGACATAAGATTCGACGAGAATAAGTAACGGCTTAAAAACACAGATTTGTTGGAAGTAAAGGATCCTAGTTCTAGTAATACATGGAGAAAGTAGAATCAATCAAATTTCGTTTTTCCTTTCCTCAGAGGGGTCCACTGGTCATCTAACTCGAGACTGATGTCGACGGAAGACTTCATTTTGCTCGAAAATTAAGCATGGATGTTGCATTGCAGGTGTGGGATGTGCTAACAAACAAGGAGGTGATAACAATAGTTGAATCAGTAAAGCCACAATCCAGAGCAGCAGAAGTTTTGGTTGATTATGCTGTTCAAGCATGGAGAAGTAGATGTCCCGGTTCCGAAGTAGATGATTGTGCAGTCATATGCTTGTTCCTCAAGGAATAGCCATTTATGACCATGGAAATCATTAATTAACTTATTTATTATATTCATTGATTCGTCAACTCGGCCTTTGAGACACTTGACCATGAATTATGTTATTTTTGTCCATTGGCCTTTCTTTTATGGGTAAAGTACACAAATGGTCCTCCAATTATATGATATTATTTTGTTAAATCTCTCAACTATTAAAAGTTATAAAATTGTCATCTGACAATAGGGTGTTGTTTTGTTAAGTCTCTTAACTATTAAAAGTTATAAAATGGTCATCCCACTATTCATATATTCCAAACTTATCGTTTTCCTTTAAAAATCGAATTTCTCATTTTAATTGTATAATCATTTAAGATCTTGAGATTATTTGTTATGATATTTCGGTCAGTAGGTTAACATACAGTTTAAACGACTTTCAATTTTTTTAAAATTTTGATACATAAGTGACATTTTTTAATTTTTAATTGTTGAGGGAGTCAATAAAATAACACCCTATAGTTAGAGATTATTTTATAACTTTTAATTGTCAATAGACTCAATAAAATAGTATCATATAATCGAATGATGATGTATATAATTTACCCTGCTTTTATCTGCTTAATTCTTTCTTCTTCTTATATATATATATATATATTGAGGGGTAAGGAATAGTGCGTCAGCAAGATTGAGATGTTTGACAGTGAAATCAATAATGGAGGAATCTCTGCGGTACGGTTTCCTCTCATGTCAAGTTCCCTTGGCTATTTCTAAAAGATGATGATGTCCTAATATTACCCAACCACAAATGTCTGTTCCTGTTTCTCAAAATTTTACTTGTCCATGTATAGAGATGTGTAAAAACTTTTTATAATTTTGTTTTTATTTAATTTTATATTTATTAAATTTAAGTCTCCATGATTTTTTTTTAAATATTATTTTAGTTATTATTAAATTTTATCCGTCGATTCGTTTTTATCACTAGACTATCAATTTTATCAATTATAATTGTAACACCTTCAACTCGTATCTGATCCGGATACAAATACGATGTATCACATTGACTTTTCAAATCATTTAACTTTAAAAATGGTTGAAAATTTAAACATTTATTTATATTAAAATGGTGAAACCCTTAAATAAAAGTAAATATTAAAAAATTTAAACTCACAATGAAAATAAATACTTAATTATTTACATAAATACAATAAAATATGTTTACAAAAACTGATCAGAGCATGTGCGATTTAAACATTTAATTACATGTCAACAAAATTCAGTATAACAAAATAACATACTGTTTAAATCGTTTCTGAACTGATCTTCAGTAGAGATATGTTGTCCTGTCTTGACCTAGCTTTGATCTCTTGGCTTCTTTAAACCTACGTGTGAAAACACTCACACATTAAGTCTTTGACATAATGAGTCATAAAGTGCATACTAAAACATTTAAACATTTAAACTTATTCTTAACCTTTTATAAAAATCATAGTATAAAGAAACTATAATACATTTTATAAAACAAAAACATACATTATCATATACTGTTCATTCATGTTATTTCTTTTAATAGTCCATGGTATATCACTGAGAACTCAAGGTATGTGAGTACATTGTGTGGTTGTGCACTGGGTTGCAATTGAAACTGCCACATAGAATTGCACCGAAGTGCCGTGTAGAATATGCACCGAAGTGTCACATAGAAATGTCCCGAAGGACCGCATAGAATATGTCAGAAGGACCACATAGAATTTTCGAATACTGTTCATTCATGTTATTTCTTTTAATAGTCCATGGTATATCACTGAGAACTCAAGGTATGTGAGTACATTGTGGTTGTGCACTGGGTTGCAATTGAAACTGCCACATAGAATTGCACCGAAGTGCCGTGTAGAATATGCACCGAAGTGTCACATAGAAATGTCCCGAAGGACCGCATAGAATATGTCAGAAGGACCACATAGAATTTTCTCGAAGGACCGCGTGGAACCCTCAACTCTTGGGCATGCCAATTATGCCTCTAGCTGTCATATCACATACTTTTCATTTTATCATTTATATGTTTCCACATAGCTTATATCACATATTCACATAATCACATAGATCAATAACACATAGTAATAAAATTAAAACCATGCTTATATTCATGTAAACATGTATTCAACACATTTAATAAACTTTCAAAATATTGTTTATTCAAAACAATGGAAATAGACTCATCGCAAGTCTTGTTTCCATACAACCATATATTATAGTAGTATGCACTCACCTTTTTGCATCACTTAGTCAAAGCAAAAATCCTGGTCACTCTTGGTCGATATCTTATAACGTCGAATCGTTTGGAACTTGCCTTCGTTCAATATCTACACAATAATACGATCGAGATTAATATCGAAGTTCATATTACTATAAATCAATTATCAATAACTTAAGCTAAAAGAAACACCTAATTCATAATTTCAGCTTAATAATATCGGTACTCCATGCCCAATACCAATACTTCCTCATCATGGTATCAATATTATACTTCAGTATCGATGACAATCTACATTCTGGAATTCATCTCTAAAAATGGTACCGATACTTGTCCAATAGTATCAATACCCTCATTATCGATGTTACTTCTTCGGTATCGATATTGTTCTACTGATTCATACAATTTCACCTTATAGTATCGATATTGTTATTCTAGTATCGATACTCTAACTCATATTTCACCTATTTTGCTTTAAAGTATCAGTACTGTTCATCCAGTACCGATACCATTGCCCATAAATAACCCATTTCAACTAGAAAATTTACCAAAATTCACTTAACTCTCCCATTTTTATCTTCTTTCAAACCTTTAAAGTCAACTTCACTTATCAAAACCAAACTTATATCACTTTAACACTCCTAACATCCAAAATCCCACTAGAACAATTGAAACTGAAAATCATACCAATTCATCAACATATCCCAAATTCTTTTCAAACACCTTAAACTTCTTATTCTAACTTATGACAAGTCAAATATAACTTCAAAATCCATTTACTAATCATTTCTCATCTATTCTCTCAAAAACCCTCTTTACTCAATCACTAATAACTTTGTCAATCTTTTAGTTTCTACTTCTCTTTATGCTTTCTCAAGTTTCCCTAATACCCCAAGAATCAAAACTAATCAAAACTTACAAGAAACAACTAACTTAAAGATTCATTACTATAGCTCAGAGACTCACAGTGGAGAGGAGATAGAAAGGATGAAGAGAATTCTAGATTTTCTTTTTAATTCTTTATTTCTTTTTGCCACATGTTTATAATACCTTAAAATGAATTTTATATTCATTTCTTACCTAAAGACCATTATGCCCTTCCATCTTTCAATCTTTGCTAATCAATCCTATACAAAGAAATTCCAAATAAATCCATGAACTTTTCAATTTATCAAAATTGATCATGAAGTTTTAAAATTTTACACTTTAGTCACTAGTTTGGTGTTTGGGGTGTTACAATAATATTAGACTTTAGTTTTATGTTTAATTATACCACTTCATCGTTAAATTAATAACGAAACAATGACATAACTAACTGTTGTTGACACAATATACCACAATAATTTATTTATGATTGAGATAAAGTCAGGTGCAAAATGCATCTCTATGACTCTATCTATTATGGGATAATTACAAAATTATGTTTATATAGAGGGTAAAAGTACACAAATAATTCTGTTTATGGGGTATTATTTTATCAAATCATTCAACTATTAAAAGTTATAAAACAATCCTCTGATTATAAGGCATTCCTTTTTTGAGTCGTTCGACTATTAAAATTTATAGAAATGTCTATTCACATTTTCAAATTTATTCCTTTTCATTAAAAAAATGAAGGTAATCTAAGATGCACATTAACCTACTGACTGAGATATGCTAAAATATGATCCTAGAATCTCAAATGACTATCATATATTAGTCAATATGTTAACGCTCAGCTCTGAGAGGTCAAAATCTTCTAAAACACTACTATTCCCACAATTGCCAATTAACACAAACTTGTCATTATCATATCGAAAGAGAGGGTAAAGTACACAAATAGTCCTTCAGCTATAGGAAGTTATTTTATTGAATCATTTAATTATTAAAAATTACAAAATGATCATTCAACTATAGGGCTCTGTTTTGTTGAATCCTCCTACTATTAAAAGTTACAAAATTATTATCTAACTATTCATATATTCTAAACTGATCATTTTCTGTTAAAAACTAACGACCATATGAGGTGGACGTTAACATGTTGATTTGAATATGACAAAATCATATTAATCATGTCTATTAACACTATTGTTACTTTCAAACACTAGCTCGACAATATAATATTTCAAGCATTAACATGATGACATAATGTAAACAAACAGTTAATCCACAAAATACAGTTCAAATAATTCTGGAATCAATGGTAACGTCCATTCTCAGACGATCATCAAATTTTTAATGAAAAATGACAAGTTTGAAATATATGAATAGTCGAGTGACTATTTTGTAAATTTTAATAGTTGTAAGACTCAACAAAGCAATACACTATAGTTAAAGGGTCATTTTATAACTTTCAATAGTCGAAAGACTTAAAAATATAATACCCTATAATTGGGGATCATTTGTGTACTTTACCCAAAAACAAAAGGATTCTACTTGAGCAAAAAAGGATTGGGTGGGGATGCAAAGAGATGGAAATACAAAAACTAAAAATTCAGAGATGGACCAATTTGAGGTTAAATTATGAGTCGTGTACGGTACCCTTAATGAAACACACCACACTGTCACCGACCAACACACTGTCATTCACTCTCTCATTCCAAATTTTACATTAAAACATTAGAATTACAACACAAGACCTCATTGGTAATGGATTATTTTCAAGCATTCACTATTTTATATCAAGCCATATAACAAGAACAGCAATAATAATATGACCCTCCATATTTATACATGACATTACCAAATTAGTCCTCCTCAAGAAAAATAACGGGTTCACAGCCATTCAAAAAGATGAAAATTAAAAACCTTAATCCAGGCATGATTTGCGGACAATATAACGATATGCAGCAACCTTTTTTATCCTGGATGATGTATTATCCACCGACAGCACCATTTTCCCACCTTCCCTCGCCGTGAAGGAGTTGTGCACCGCCTCCTCCGTCGGACTCAGTTTCCTCGCCTTCTCCACCGCGATTGTGTAGCCGCCCTCGGCGTTCGGCACGAACTCCGCACTGTATTCCAAATCCCACCCTCCTACTACAAGATCCCATGTTATGGTTGCCCCACCCTGAAAAACCATTAACTCTTTCTCTAAAATCACAAATTTTGCATATCGATTCACTGTGGAAAAGAATACCAAAGAGAAAAAAACAATACTTTACCTCGATTCCTTCGATTTGAATGTTCACTTTCTCCCCTCCTTTGACGACGAACTCGGAGGCCGGTTTCCGAGGACCGGTCTGCGAATCGTTGGGTCGACTCAGTCCTCCATACTGTACAGGAACATCCTCTGGCCTTATGAACCTAACAAACGAACAAACAAATTATAGGAAAGTGAAGAGATAAAAAGAAGTGGATAAAGCCAAAGGGACTCACTTGTAGAGTGTTTCGGCTGCGGATCCTTCTCTGGAGATAACGAACTTGCTCTTGGTGCGCTGAGTTAGAAATGGACTGAACATCGAGTACAACATGCTGAAGTACCATGGGACATTGATGAAAATCTGAAACCACAAAGGCAAGATGTGATGATGAGAAGCTAAAAGAGACCAAACGTTTTACATATATAAAGAACTATTGAGGGTACCTTTCGAGCAACCATCTCAGGGTAATTGTCTTGAAAGAGAGAGAGGATCTGGTTAGAAGCAACCCTGAGTTCTCTTTTGGGCATGTCCTTGAGATCGGTGACTTGAATAATAGAGTTGATTCCACCAGGCTTGAAATGCAGCTGGTTGATTCCTTTTTCCATAACTTGAACTCTCCATCTTAGAAAGCTCTTCACTTTGTCTTCGTCCCCAAACATTCTCTCGCACATCTCCTTGTCCTTGAAAACTCCGTACGCATTGTAACAAACGGGATGGCCTTGTCTATCGTATCCGTGCATATAAGCGACCACTCCGTCCAGCTCCTTGAACCCCAAATCCTCGTCCGTGATGCCGTCGGCGTTGAACTCTTTTCTCCAGGCCAGGCATTTCTCCAGCATGTGAAACGAGTGCGACACCTTGAAATCCCTAGCTCGCAAGAACTTGAGAAGAATGACATCGGCTTTTTCGTCGCCGCAGAGAAGAGGGACACCCCACATCGTGCATTCTCCGTCGGGGCCGAACGAAGCATTGAGCTTGTCCTTGAGCTCTTGCAGGGCTTTTTTCTCGGAAGACTTGAGGTGGGAGACGAAGTAGGTGTCTTCCTTGAAGGAAGGAGAGCGGAGAGTGGCGGCCTCCATTAATGTGGTGACGAAGCTTTTCTTGAAAGGCTTTGGGGAGGACTGTGGAGGAATGGAGAAGGGTGAAGGAGGTTTCTCCATTGAAATGAGTTGTTGTGACTGTGGAGGGATTGGCTTGAAATGTCAGAAAATAGTATAAATAAGAAGAAGAAGAAGGAGAAGGAGTAATTTAAGGATTTGTCTGTGATTGTTTGCAGGGAAAACAAAAGTGGCTGCTGCACACACCAGAAGTAGGAGGTTTATAATATCTTAAAACAAGCAGACAAATCAGATTTTCATTACATTAGATTAGTGGAAACAAACCATTATTTATACTAATATGTTACATTAAGCCTTCCTTTTATAAGATAATATTTGTTTGTCTCTTAATAGAATCATTCAGCGTTGAATATTGAACCGCTTAGTAGTGATTGATTCAACAAAATAATACTGACTGATTCAGCATAAAAGTACATTATGAATCATTCAGAGTCAGTTATCAAACATTATGTCATATTCAGAGTCAAATCATTCAGAGCCTCTGAATCATTTAACATTTAAATCATTCAGCGTTTAATTATTCTGAAATAAACAAACAACCCCTAAATATATGTTACATTAAATTAGTGATCTATATATTGGAATGATCGACTTTGATTTGAGATTAAACATTCTGAATATTAGAAGCGTAAATATTAAACGTAAATAAGTTGAGATTTATTTTTAAATAAATATTATTTAATACTTATACTAAATTATATATATATATATATATATATATATATATATATCTTCAAAATCATAAGTCCGAAGCTTTTATAAATAATAAATAAATAAAAAGAAAGCTTAATTTAAAAATATTATTTATTTATGTTAGAGGTAAAGGGCAGAAATTTGTGACCACTGCAGAGAAGAAGACCAATAGCAGCTGGTTGCAAAATCAAAAACGGCAGATTTTGAATTCCTTTTATAACTTTGAATTTTTAAATTTTAAGAAAGTTTGCGTCACGCGCTGGATACATGATAATTATTTAGTTTGAATAAACACTCTTGGAAGATAAACATGTACAACCAACCACAAGTAAATTTTCAAATTTGAATTCGAGTAGTGAAACCGAATAGTTGAGTGAGAACTGGGAACCGGTTTAGTCTGCAACTAACCAATATTATTTTGGCATAATGCCATAATTAACCCCTGATTTTAACCAAAAATTTCATCTTCCTATTCTATTTTTTGGAGCATGTTGGCCCCTAAAATTTTATTTTAGGGTCAAAAGATCTCAAATATTTAACAGAATAATCATTTTATCCCTTATTCTTTTTTCTAAAGTATTTTAGCACCAAACATATCATTTTAGGTTAAAAACTCATATTTTGGAGCGTTAATCATGTGTTAACTAATAATTTTATTTTTTAAGAGAGCTTTTGTCCCTGAAGTGAAATGTTAGAGACTAAAATACTCTTAAAAAAGAATGAGTAAAAATGATTATTTTAACAAACAATACGTACTATCTTTGGTATTATGCCTATTATTTTCCATTTCTTTTTTGGTGGGATCTTTTGGGTTTCGGACACCAAACTGCAGTTGTTTTGTTCTCACTCAAACACAGCTCTTCTTCTTTCCAGGCAAAAGCAAAACATAGTCTTACTTTTTCAGAAATCTCAAAGGCAAAAAAAAAAAATTCTTCCCTTGAGGGATATAATTATGGAGTGGGAAAACGTAGACCCAAAGTTAATGAGTAATTAAGCCTACCAAGTGAAATCTAAATCAAATATGGTGCTCCTATTCTAACCAAAATATGTTAAATTCTCATGGATGGATCAAGAGAGATACTGAGTGGTATAGTTACACCTCTAGAAATATTAAATTCTATTGTATTTTACATTTTTTATCTTTTCCATTGATTATCTAATTTCGCACGTTTTTAAATTTTATACTTATACACCTTTAAAATTTTTAATATAACCTTTTAAACCTTATGACTCAATGAATTATTTCTATGCGTAATTAGGCAATATTAGATGAAACGTTAATTATTAAATGGCCGCGTAGTGATGAAGGTTTGGGACCTCGAACGAACAACATGTTTGTCTCTTTCAGCCAAAATTCAAGCAAAGGCTGCGAAAAAGCAAGTTTTTCGTCCGCCAATCCGTCACCTTATGTTTGGTTCCATCTCAAATCTAAACTAGACATTCTAAAACAATCCAGTAATTCTGTTTGATGTGCTGTCAAAACTTGTTTACACCGAGTTCCATGTAATCAACTCTATGATTACTACTGTTACTATTCATAAATACTTGATTTACCCCCCCCCCCAAATACTTTAATTTAATCATTTTTAATCTTATAATTTTTAGATTTTTAACGTAGACTTAGTTCTTGATCTTGTAAGGAATATTGGCACGAAAAAACCCTGGTGGTGTTTTTGTGCGAAACAAGGTTGCGTACTGGTAGTGTAGACATGATCAGGGGTCACCCTTAAAAATTTTAAATTATCTTATATTTTAGATATTTTTTATTTTATATAAATTATTTAATTTTATACCACTGAGATTTTATAATTTCTTATCCCCTAAATTTTTAATATAATTTCTTATGTTCGCACGTATGGAGCTTAATAGTTGAAACCGGTTCAGATTGCACAAATTTTTTAAAATATTTAGATTTTCTTATAAATTAATAAATTATGACATCCATCTACAAAAGAATATATATATATATAACTCTAAACTAATTATATTATCCTACAATTTTACATAAAGTAACAAAAACAAACTATAGGACATCAAAATTTATATACATAAATAACATGCGTTTATAAAACTAAATATTTCATAAAAAATTAAAATCACTTTTTAAAAAGTTAATTAATAATATTAAATATTAAATATAATTTAAAAATATAAAAATAAAACTCATTTTTTACTTTTTAATCTATATTAACTAAAGTTTAAAACATATAGGAAAGCTATCCAATTATAAACTAACTATCAAAGTTGCATTGGTGGTTTAAATTCTCCGTAATTCTCTAATTAAGGCGTGCCTATCTTTCCTTTCAATCCCAAATTCAAATTCTTCCTCCACCACCTTCTTATATCTTAGTTTTCCTTCGATCAAAGGATGATCTGGATCATAATTTGATCTAAAGAAAATTGTTAAATAAATTAAAATTATGAAAAAATTCCAAATATTGACATACTTCAGCATCTCATTAGAGGATTAAATTTATTGAATTAAATTAAAATTAAGACTAAATTGATTTAATATATAAGTATTAAGTATTAAATATGTAGTTATACTAATTTTATTAATTGTCACGTCAACTCTTCCGTCAAATATTAACGATATTTAACTCGATCGAATTAACCTTTATTTAGTAAAAGTTGCACATTTTGTTAGCAATGTTGAAAAAGGCATGGAATTGATTTGAAAATTGTGGCTTTGGTTGGTAAAGAGAAAGAATCATGTGTGTGCTCGGTCTTGTAAAAAGCTAAAATCTAAAAAGAAAATAAAATGCAGATGATTAAAGTAGGGTGAAGGAGGAGACAAAGTTTAAGCCCACACCATGCATTGGAAGCCGAGAAAAGCCTAGTGTTTAATTTTAGGGTAAACTACATGTTTACTTAAACTATTATTTTTTCCATTTTGATATCTAAGCTTTATTTCTTTTCAAAACTATACTTAACATTTAGGCTAGATTTCATTTTAGTACCTCATTGTTACAAATTTAACAGTGATGTTGATGTATCCTCATAAGATAAAGTCACGTTATCATTGAAAAATAGAAAAAAATATCATGTCATCAGTTCTATTAAATTTTTAACGGAGGAGTACCAAATTGAAACTTAATATAAACATTAAGTATGGTTTTGGAAAAAAAATAAAGTTTAGGTACTAAAACATAATAAAAGTAATAATTTAGATACTAAACGTGTAGTTTATCCTAAGTTTTAAAAAGGGTAAATTATATTTTGAACTTGTGATATCTCACAGGTTTTTTGTATTTTCGTTTTAATCAGCACATTATTTTTTTTATAAATTTTATATCTAAAATCAACTTCTACTTTTATTTTAATAACTGATTATTAAGTGATTATTAAAATTTAAATGACAATGTAATTTAATATAATAATAATAAATTAAAATTTATATACTTTATTATTATATTATAATTTAAAATAATTCATCTAAAATCTTAAATTTTAAAACGTAAATTGTTGAACAGGATGTGTGTACACATAAAAGAGTGAAGGGGCTACTAGAACTAGGAGCAGAAAGGCATTTTTTGCAAAACTCGATTTGGAGCAAATTAAGTTAGAAAGATCTTCCTTATAATGAATTTCTGTAAAATTCAATTTAGAGCAAACTGAATCGAGAAAATTACTATAATAATAAAAGTCTATAAAATCTGTTTTAAATTAATCGATAAATAAATAAGATATCAAAATTAATTAAAAAAATCCAAGTGATGGCTTTTCTCATGGTATTTGGACCATCCCACTTTTGACTTGTGCACCCAAAGTACCCCTTTCATCATAAGGGTCCCAAAAGGTGAGAAAGTAATGTATTTGTTGCAACTAATTAGGTGAGTAGCTAGTCAAGTTTAATAATGAAAAAAAGCTGAGCTTAATTAGTACTATGGAAATATGACAGCATGCCTGGACAGCCGCTGCCACATACATAGAAACACCGAATTATTATCCTAAAAGAAACAACATATTTCAGATTGCACATGGCCATGTAACACCATTTGCCAATACCAATAGTATTGTACTCTCAACAAAATAATCCACATTTAAATAATGGGTAAAATATAAAAATGGTATCCCAATATTGTTGAGTTTTATGACTGTTAAAAGTTATAAAACGATCATCCAATTATTTATATGTTCTAAACTCATAATTTTTCGTTTAAAAGTTAATGACTGTTTGTTACCTGAGGTATGATAAAATCTTATCCATTGTCGTTTTAGTTATAGTTTGTGGATCAAATCTCTATTTATATTATGACACCGAGTCGGTGCTTGAGACATTATGTTGGCGAGCTAATGCTTAAAAGCAATGATAGTGCCAATAGACATCATTAAAATATGATTTTATTATATCTCAATCAGCAAATTAACGTCCAACTCATACAT